CATTTAGGAAGACTTATTCCACTAAGCATCGGCTGCCATAAAGACTGCTTTCGTTCATTTTGATTTCAAAATGACATAACAGCTGAGTCAAGTGGGATTTCTGTTGATGTAAGGTCATGTTATGACACTTCTGGTGACATAATGGTGATGTGACAGTTCTAATTTAGTGTCAGAGAAAATACACGACTATGTCAGTATGACATCACAACATCGTCAGAAGCTCACAAAAAAAAGAGGAAGAAATACGGAACTTACTTTACTTGTGAGTCCAAAAACATACATAACTAGGTTAATACAATGTTACAACATTGTCATAAGTGCTTATTAACACTTTATAAGCGGATGTATGACACGCACTTTACACTCAGACACTCAGGGAAGACATATGGTCAAAGCACTTATTATGGAGATGTAATAATATTGCCATAAATACGCAGAGATATTTTATAAGTTGAATAATGAAGCTTGGTTTGCTTAAGAATCAGAAAATATACAAAGCACTGTTATTATGACGTAATAATATGGTCATAAGTATGTATAAATGTTTCAGAAGAGGAATTATGAAGCTCCGTTTACTTAATAAGAAAATATAGCATAGCATTGTTATTATGATGTAATAACACTGTTATAAAGCTGCATAAACGTTATATATGCGGAATTATGAACTTACTTATTGATCAGAAAATATACATAGCCTGGTTATCATAATGTAATTGTCATAAAAATGCATAAATGTTTTATAAGCGGAATTATGAAGCTCGGTTTACTTAATAATCAGAAAATATATATAACACTGTTATTATGATGTAATAATATGGTCATAAATATGCAGAGAGGTTTTAGAAGTGGAATTATGAACTTATTGACCTGAAAATATACATTGAATATTGTTATTATAATGTAATTGTCATTACATATGCATAAAAGTTTTATACGTGGAATTATAAAACTTACTTATTGATCAGAAAAGATACAAAGCACTGTTATTACAATGTAATAATATTGTCATAAATATGCAATTTTTACAATTTTTATTTATTGATCAGAAAATATACATAACTTTTATCAATAACTATTATCAATATTATAGTAATAGCAATCATTTTATAATCATTTTATGTCCACTATATTATATTTTTGTTCATGCAATCTAATTTGCAGTGATTGCTTTTAAACAAGAAACGTATGGATAAAAATAACACGTGTATAAAATCTTCCATTTTATGCATCAGACGTTCTTTAAGTCACTGGGTCTGGGTCACTATGAGACATGCTAGCGTAGCTGTAATTGTCGTGCTAATTCGCTAACCAGGGCACCCATCTAATTGATGATGAGCTAAAGAAGATGGAGACAAATTGCCAAGTAGGATGCTAATCACGCCGGTCAGAGATAGCTTATTGACTCGAGACGTTTCCCCCAGGAGGAGTGTGTTCAGACATCAGGTCTTATGTGTCCCGGGCTGATGGATGGCTTGTGGGAGTCGGTTCGATAGTCAGCCGAGAGCTGTGCAAACTTGCTTCGTTATGAATTAAGGGGGGAAAAAAACTTTAAAAGCATGCAAATTGTGACTTCCTTATTTATTCTGTTACTGCTAGTGCGGCTAGCAATGAGTATAAACTGGTACTGAGGAACAGTAACATTATTAGCCATTAACATAATGCTAAGTTGTGTTTTGAAGGTTGTGAAGATGAAACTATAGTTTAAATGTTATTAAAAAAAAATGACAAGAACAAAAGAAAAATAGCACTAAGCAGCGATGTGTGGGGTCCAAGCACTCTTTGCAAATAGCACCTTCAGTGGCCAGTTCTTGGCCAATGGCAAGGAGACTACAGAGATAATAGATGAACACACTGTTTTGTGATGGAGGCTCAACGTTAACGCTGTGCAATGCCTTCTCTACGCTCGTTTGTTGAATGAGTTTGATGGGGAAAAAAATTACGCAAAATTGGATGGAACAAATCGATTTTTAGACGTGCCTATTTAGACGCACCATTGTACAAAAAAGCTCAAACATTTTTATTTCACGGGGACTTTAAAGAGAATTTCTCCCCAATGAAGCTAACGTGAAAAACGATATTTGCAAACGACTGGTGGACAGTTAGCATGGTCTCGCTGGCACGTTTCTCACTGATAGAATTCACCATTTTGGTGCTGCAGTGACAGAGAGCATAAACCTCAGCCTGGGAATGAAGGCATTTTAGCATCTAAGGTTAGAGCCTTCAAAATGCCAACACGAGCGCTTTAGCCTAGATACTAGAATGAAGACTGGAAAGGAAAGTTGTTTCTTGTTTAATGGTGGCTGCTTGCAAAAATACTGTAATGGCTACTGAGGGTCTGGTAGCATGACCTTTTTAACACAAGACAAACTGGTACTTTTGTTTCGTACAAGTTAAGAAAAGGTCAACTAAAAGGGGCGAAAAGATTTCATGTTAGCGACACATTTCCTTAATGCTTTGATTCAAAGAACTGTCAAGTTTTCTAGGAGTTTTCTGAGCATGTTTTTATATAAATTGTATATATATTTTTTTTCTTTAATAAATTTAAGTTTAGCTGTAGGAACTATAATGCTAACATTTCATTCTAATTCTAATTCTAACATTTTAATAGTAAAATAGTGCGCTTTTACAACTATTAGTCCATTTTCTGAGCCTGTATCAGAGCAAAATCGAAGTATTTTTTCTTCTCTTTAAATGTCATCAATTAAAACAAAACAAAACAAAACAAAAACTAGCTAGCTTTGCTACAGTACTAGCGACTAGGATTTATTTTCTTTTAATAATGTTAGCAATTTCTGACTAAAATCAGTCATTTAAATGATTTAATTGAATTTTAATGCATAAAAACGAGCAAAAGGAAATCATTTGTTTGAGACGAGCGAGCTGACTAGCTCCAATTAATACCACACAGCGTTTTCTCAAGAACATCAGACATCTTGTCAGTGTTTCAAGGCTAATTGTACAAGTGTGTCTTCCTCATGTTCTCACATTAAGACAGTTGGACATGACTATGCACACGCACACACACACACACCCGCACTTACATACCACAGACCTTCTCGCTTTTTCACAGAGTGAGCAGCTGAACCTCGCATTGTGAATGAGCACAGCTTGCTCCGTGACAAAGGCTGTCATTCTGCGACACTTCTGCCATCTCACACACTCCTGCACACACACACACACAAACACACACACACATATATATATATATATATATATATATATATATATATACACACATATTCTGATTCCATAAAGGCACATCAGATGCTATCTTAACCAGCACAGCCATGTGGTAATTAAGCCTTGCTCGAGCACAATATGGCAGCAAAGGTTCAGTTGCTATGCAGGAAAATGAACATGACTGGAACGTCACTGGAAGACTTTTAAACACTGTCTGTCTCCCAGTTAAGGGCCATTTTACACTCACTGTTTCAACCCTTTTCAATGCTGAGTGATGACCGCTGAGTTGTTAAATGTAACCAGCTAATCACAAACCTGATCATGTGACTTTCACTCGTAGGTAGGGATGGATTAGCGTCCGGGCCTATTGAGCATGTGACCTTGAGGGCCCTTTCTCGCCACTAGGGGGCCCTCGACGAGCATAAATTTAAACTGAATGATTAGAATGACTGGCCATTATGCTAGGTCATACAAAATCCAGTTAATAAAACACAAACCAGCGACTGTAAAGTCACAAAATCTGAAATAAATTCGCAAATGTTTCTGGGTCTGAATTTGTAACCCTGTCAGTTAGGTCCTAACTGGAGCTAGTTAAGCAAATGGGGGGAAAAAAAACAACAAAAAAATCAAAACAGGGATAACCATAAAGCCATATTAAGTGGGTTGACTGAAAAAAGCAGTTTCACTCCAAAAAAAAAAAAGCCAGAGCTAATTGGTGGATAAACATTAGCAAACATTAGTCTTAGGCAATTAGAAATTAGTCCAATCCAAACTCGCACCATCGCTTGATTGTTGCTCCAATCACCGCTTAAGATGACTCGAGTCAAATTATCCAATTCACCTTTGATTCATCGTTTATGATCAGTTTATTAGGCACTGTTGCTAATTAAATTATTGTAGTGTGAATAAAACAGCCATGCTCCAAATGCCTGCTTATACCCTAGATAAAAACTTAAGAGAAAATGTGATGCACCCTGAGACCGTCCAAATTCAAGGAAAAAAAAAAAAAAAAAAGACCTTTGATCGTGAGCACTTTGAAAAAGTTCAGTCGGGCTTCGGCTTTGGCAGGAGATGAAAAACGCAGCCTGAGTTTTCTCTGCAGCTTTCTCACCCGCCTTCTTTCATATTACGGGACAAAAGAGTAAAAGAAGAAAAAGAGTCAGGGCAAAAAAAAAAAAAAAAAAAAAAGACACACAGAGCAGAAACTATGGAAATTACTCACTTGCGTGAAGACCCTGAGAGCGAGCCCCTCTCTCGCTTTCTAAAGGTGATCTCAGATCCAAGAATGTAAGCCCCAAACCCTAAACCCTTTGTAGCTTCAGAGGGATTATGGGTAAGCTTGTGCCTAGCTCTGGTGTTGAAGTGAACTTAACAAAGTCAGGAATTGATGGAAGAAGTTGTAATGTCCAACATGGTGAATCTTATACACTATATATACTGTAGTTTCGCAGTGGAGCTCCTAAGCTAACGTAGCTAATGCAGGAGCGAGGCCATATTTATAGGAATCCTATTTCTTTGGAAGTGAACAGAATCACTCTCATGAGCATCTTGAGCAACTCAGCGGAGAGGAGGAGGTGAAAAATAATGACATAACATGATGGGTTTTTCTATTTTTTGGTTCCGCCCACAATTTTAATGTAACATCATAAAAACATTATTATTAGGCATTAAGAGAAGAGTACAAGCACTTTTACGATTTGAGATTCTTTACGATTGTCTTTGAAGTGATTAGTACAGATGCGTCTAGAACAATCTGACCATGGCTGTGACCTATGGTTAAAAAAAAAAATAAATAAATAAATTAAAGCAACAGTGAAGGGTTCCTGGAGGACTAGTGGTTAGTCCTCGGTGCTCTCTCTCACTACCATGGCCTGGGTTCGAGTCCCGGCCAGGGAACCAACCCCAGCACACTCCAAGCGCCGGGCCCAAGCGCGGATAAAATGGGAAGGCTGCGTCAGGAAGGGCATCCGGCATAAAATCTGTGCCATATCAAATATGTGGACCAATGACCGGCTGTGGTGACCCCTAACGGAAGCAGCCGGAAGAAGAATAAAAAGCATAAAAGCGACTAAAGGAGCCATGTAAATATTCATGTGTGATGTCATGTGACTGTGGGAAAATATGGGAGTGTCATTAATTATTCGAGAAATAAAGCACCTGTTGTGGGAGGGGTTGGCAGGAAGGAAGGGGGTGAGTGTGGGAGCACACATTTGTTTGTTGACCGTAAATTCATTCAAAATTTTTGCCTTGATTCAAATGATCTCCCGATGCTTCAAGAAATGTTCTCAATGTTAAGTAGAAAATAAACTTCAAGATGCAAATGTAATGGATGATTGACGTGTCACAAGTTATTCCCGCATTCAGCTCCCGCGGCTTTGGTTGGCTTTTAGGCCGCTAAAGCGACAATGACAAAAAAAAAGGCTGAACTGCCAAAAAAAAAGTCCTTTAAAGGAAAAACGTTCCCACTTCCTGGAACGTGACGTCACTGCTGAATTCCCGGATTGGACTCCTGCCCCACACTGGGTGCCATCTGTGCTGTATATATGATTTCACTTGTTAGTAGCTTTGATCCAAGCGGATTAGGATTATAAATCATCCTGTGAGTAGAATAATAGGAAGTTGGAGCGCGATTGCGTTGTGTATCGTCAGCTATTCATATTCGAGCCATCTGTTCTTTAATCGAGTCAGCAGGAGGAAGATGAAGTGATGGACATGGGCACTGCTCAACACTGGACCGGACTGCCCTTTATAAGACACAACGTCTTCATCCGCTGCAAAAAAAAAAAAAGTTATTCATGCTCAGACGAAGAACTCTGTGATCTTTATCAAAAAAAAAAGAAAAGCAGAACTCTGTGATCTGCCGCAATGAATTATTCTGTTTGACTTAGCAAAAGATTCTCAGCTAGTTCTGATTCCAGCACAAGTACATCAAGTTAATCTGAGTATCATTTCTCTATGTCTATTTGATCTCTCTCTATCTTTCTCTCTCTCTCTCTGTAAATATATATCACGTACGGAGGAAAATTCAACGAATCACCAACGTGGCCCAGCTTTTCGGACCTCAGAACATCGGCTTTGTTGCGCTATGCTTGGTTAGCTGGCGCTAAAGGTCAAAACAGGATGCAGTACCTCAGAGAGACAAACAATTTAATGAAATGTCAGCGATCTGCCGTTGCCTGCCACGGTATCCTCTTAATAAAAGCCTGTCTGGATGATTTTAGAGTTCACTTTTTCAGGATGAAAAATAAACGAGGCCTTATTAGCTAGCTCTCATGAGGAAAGGCTAACAGAGTTAGCAGCGTCCCGGCTACGTCCTATTCATCACTTAATATCTCTGTAAGTGCACAGATTGTTTGGAGCAATGCAGCGGCATCAATCATGCTAAACTTGACAGCTAACGGTGCTTTCGTCCTCTGCGGTTCTGGACCGAGTCCCTGGGGCTGGCCGTCTGTTCTGTGGCTAATGCTAACGGCCAGCATTGAGACGGTGCTGGCTGACACGTTGCACATGCTATAAAGCAAGCTGCCAGTCAGACGAGTGCTATAGGGAAAAAAGGAACATGGTAAAATGATAAAATATACAACACAAGGCAGCTGTCAAGATATAATGGGCCTCTGCTTGCATTCCCCGCTGAAAATCTAGTTGCTGGAGACTTTCCGTCTACTTTTTAACTCTTCTCTTAGAGTGCGTATAAATTTGCGTGAAAGGAGACTCACTAACGCGAACCTCGATTAATTAGCGTAAAAGTCGTAGAATTGCTGATGAGTTACTGCGATTTTATAGACGGAATACTCGGTCGATCACTTATTTATTTCAATTACACTCCCATTTAATGAACATTTTGTGAAACTCAGCTGTTTAAATCCAAAAGATATCCGTACGTTAAGACAAATCAGACTAGCCCTTCAATTAGGACAAAAGTAATGGCACCCCACAACGCAGATTTTTATACTTTGGTTCATCTTACAATTTTAGTGTGACATGATCAAAGCATTTATCCATTTAGAAACATTTTTAGACGTAGATCTTTATGTTTTAAGATGAATTGTGCTGACCAAAGACAAAAAAAGGGTCAGTTTTGATTTCAGGTTGCCTTTGAAATCAGAAAAAAAAAAAGCATTCCTGGAAGATTTAGTTGTCATTTAGTCGTCATTTTCAGCTCTCTGTGAGCTTTTCCTTTTATGGAGTTTTGTGGGTGTGGCTAAATATAAATCAGCCGTGCCGTGAAAACACGCTTGCAGCTGATTTATGAACATGTTTTATTCAGGATGAATAGAATCTATGAAACTTTTACAAATGTGGCAGAATTTATTTTTTATTTCAGCGATACACGGATATAGCGTAGGACTTTCAATAGGAAGCACAAACAGAAAGTACATACACCCTTCTTTCATCTTTGCGCTCCCTCTTCCTCCAGACGTCGCTCTGACCTACAAGTGTGTATAAATTAGTCAGGACAGCACAGGTGGGCTGGAGGACAAAAACGAATAAGGAGAAGTTGAGAAGGATTACTCAAAGTGCAGAGAAGAAAGGAGAAGGAAGAAGTGCTTCCTTGAGGCAAGTGTGGAAAGAAATGTGCAAAGGTGGAAGAAGAGGAAGAGGACACACACACATACACACACACACTGCATAAAATACGCTTAAAATATTTATTAGATGAAATGCTTGGGAATTTGTCAAACAATAAGAAGAACAGGAACTAACTTGTTTTATGGACGTTCAGAAAGGACGTGAAATAAACATGGATGAGATACTGATTTTATCATCAGTTTTGTCAGATGGAATTTATTTATTTATTTATTTTTTACAATATCTGGGTTTATGACAATTTATCCGACTCAGTTTCTCCCAAAACTGTTTGCTGTGTTTTGCATTCCCAGATATTTAGAGGTCAAAATCAGGCTGGGAAAAAAGATTTCAGTCATCATTAAATGGGCCATCATCATTCCACTGTGGATGTGTCCCAAACCAAACGCCATCACAACTACCTCTCCGCACAAACCCCATATCTCCTATGGCCTATTCACTCTATAAGCTACATAAACACCATATCAGATGACTCACCACCATCAGCCCATTTTGGATGTGTCCCAAATCACACACTATTCATTACATAGTCTTTCAAAACAGCACAACAAATGTCTCATCAGTTCACTGTGGATGTGTCCCAATTCACACAACCTATTTGCTATATAGGCTACAAACTCACCCTCATCAGTCCATTGTGGACATGTCCCAAACCACATATCCTCTACACTACACAGGCCACAAAAACACCATCACAAACGCCAGGCAATCATCAGTCCTCTGTGGACGTGTCCCAAATCACTTAAAAGTCCACTAAAACAGATCATATGCAATCTATAGGCAATGTATTCAGGTACTCAGTATCTTTTAGTATACATCATTTGGACACTATGACTAAGCAAAGCATTGTGGGATTTCCAGTCGCAAGCAGGATATTTTCCACGACACTTTCAGACAAAGAGGGCTTACGAAATAGTACACTAGATAGTGAACAGGGTGTTGTTTTGAACAGACCAACGCTAAGGGTACCAGAGATATTGTGTTTTTAAACAAACCAAAACCATCTATCATGGTTCAGCCTATTTTTATGTTTTGCAGACGTTTTTGTTTTTTCACATTATTCAAATGGAACTGCTTTTGCATCTGAGGAAAAACAAACCCATTTAATCAAGTGGTGTTGTTGAGGGAAAAATAGACATAGAAAATAATTAAAAAAAAAAAAAAAAGGGGGAAAGAAAAGTAATGACTCGCACAAAAGCGAGTATAGTCCTTATCGTCATCCATCAACACATCCGTTTGCATCTGAGACTATTTTTAGAAATTGGTGTTAAATGACTGTGAGGGTTTTTAAAGTTTCCACTCTTTTCTTTAGTGCACTGTCCTTGAAAAAGGCAAAGTTGGAGTGTGATGTCGAAGCCAGCTGTAATCTATTTTCAAATGATTGATGCGTCTAAGCGTCTGAACGCTGCGTTTTCTCCCCTACCCTACTTTTACACCAGCCTCTTGCGAAACGAATGCGAATTCTAACAAGCGAGACCCAATTTGTTGTACTCCATAAGAATGAAGTCACTAACCCCGCCCCCTCACCCTACATTGGGCTGGTAGATATCATTTTTTTAGACATTTTTGTGTCTATAAAACATCTCAATTGATTTTTACTCTAAAAATCACGTCTATGTAGGGAAGAAAACACACTGTTGTGCCGTTATATGGAAGTAATCAAGCACGGGATGGTGTGATGAAGCGAAGTTACTCTTACCACCCTGAAGTAGCAGTTTTTATTTATTAAAGAATGACAAGACATGCTTTTTTATCTATTTATAGTTACATTTATTGCTACGGAATGTCCACGAAACTGGTTAGTCTGTGTTATCGCTTATGTTATAGCAGCTATAAACAGCCATTCCCTCTCCAGCCTCTCATTTTTTTTCTCTCTTGAAGTTAAAAAAGAAATAAACTTTAAAAAATGCTTTTTGTTTGTCGGGTTACCGAGAAACCGCAAAGGTTAAACGCCTTCTGACCAACCAGACTCAAGAGTTCATCAGCACTGTGGTATAAATGTTTTTAATAAACTGTAAATTCACAGCCTGTTTTTCACAGGAGCCGTGCACGGGCTATGAATATTCATAAGCATAACCTCGATGCTCATTAATATTCATTAGCATGCTAATGCATTTTCTTAATAAAGAAAGAAAAATTTTGTACCTTTTTGCTGTGAAATCATCTTGAGGTAAGGTGTTGCTGTTTCACATTTTGCTCATTCATTATGCAATGCCTTGAAACCTAGTCGTACTGAGCCATTTGTGGGGTTTTTTTTCCCAATGCTATCCTGAGAGAAATGCCCAAAATGAACTTTACCCAGTTTTTGT